ATTTCAGAGCTAGGAGGTACCCTAAAGATTACTTAAGCCAAAGTCAACATCAGAGTAGTATAGTCACCACACTGTATGCCTGGAAGAGATTAAAAGCCAAGTAACTGCCAAACCCGTCACACACTGCTCACAAACCAACTGAAATTAGAAGCCCAGTCTCTAGACCAATGAATTTTACCTTAACTTACCGTGTTTGTTCATTGTTTACTACTGAAACAGATTACTTACTCATTACTTAATACTACTCAAAACAAAGATAAAATATATAAGACGAGCACTCCAAGCAAAAATTTAAACACTGAACACTTCTGTTTTACTCGAGGCAAGATTAAAAAAGTCTTCTTTCTAAAAGAGGTCGATGTTTATTTTACCAATGACCAGAAGACACACCACTCTCTAATAAGCATCAACTTTTTCATCATCACCAATGAAAACGCCACGAAACAGATTTAACACTGGCAATATTCCATATGACATAACCTTTAGGCTAATAAACAATGGCAACCACCAAGCCTCAAGAGGATTACTGGAGTCGATTTAAACATGTGGTCTAGAAGAACTTGCTACCTTACTACTCCTATGTTTAAAGAGCACTATGCCAGGCTGCCATCACAGTGTTTAAAACCACACTGATTATGTTTCCAAATTAAGATTTGTTTGTTACTATGCTTCTTTTAAACAGCACATTTTGTTTTCTTTCTAGGGATTCGTACTGGACGTCATCAATTTAACTGAGCACACTAGTTGTACCTTTAAAAGGCAGTAGAAAGAAACATTCTTCTAAAGAAAGATTTAGCCAGAACCTCACTTTATACCTCTTCTCTAACATTTCAGGTAAAAGTTGTCATCTTTAAATAAAGTGAAGTTTCCAGAACCTATAAAAAGGGAAAAAATAAAACCTTTCCCAAAAGGTCTCTTAAGCATGACATGTGGGAGGGTGTGTGCCTGTGTGAGAGACGGAGAGCTTGGGTCAGAGAAGCTGCGCTCAGATCTGAATCGGAGGCCAAAGACTCCCTTTTAATGTATGTTTATTAAAGGGAAGGTTCACGGAAAGTCAAAGTTTTTCACTGGAATATGTTGATAATAATTATATCTGTATTAGTCTTTACAATTTTCAAAAAAGCCTTCTCATGGTATAATTTTTAAATGGATACATATGTTATAAAAAATAGTATGTAAAACTTTGAAAATTCTTAAAAATTTAGGAAATTCTTTTTCCAAAGAGAGTAATTTAATTTTAAAACTTTTATTGAAGAAATGTTGTATTGCTGCTATGAAGGAAACTGTATAGTGATACATTTTATGAACTTCTAACAAGAGAGGAGTATCTTCCCAAAGAGTTTTTTTAAAGACATACAGCTTAACAAGTTGAAATTAAATTTAGTAAGATTGCATATTTACTTTTCCTAATACTGTGTTTGTGTTTCCTTAAACTGAATCACAATCTTTGAGATGAAATCAAAATCAAAAGGCCCAGGTACAGTGGCTCATACCTATAATCCCAGCACTTTGGGAGGCCAAGGTAGGAAGGACTGCTTGAGCCCAGGGGATCGAGACCTGCCTGGGCAACATAGTAAGACCTCAACTTTTTAAAAAGCTAGCCAGGTGTGGTGGTGGCGCCTGTAGTCCCAGCTACTTGGGAGACTGAGGTGGAAGGATCGCCTGAGTTCAGGAGGTCGAGGATACAGTGAGCTGTGATCCAATTAAAAAAAAAAAACAAAACTCTAAACAGATTTATAAAATACCAATATTGATGAATGTGGGTAAACAGGTTCATTTCATGATTCATGCTGCTGTGCACCAAAGAAACAGAGGTAGCCTTGTGTTTACTGAAATCTAGACTGGTAAAGAGAAACCTATAGCTGTTAGTCACCCAATTCTTAGATTGAGATACGACCTAACAAATAAAATGCTATCTTAACATGCCTTTCTTGGTCGAGTGCAGTGGCTCATGCCTGTAATCCCAGCACTTTGGGAGGCCGAGGAGGGAGGATCACTTGAGCCCAGGAGTTCAAGACCAGCCTAGGCAACATAGCAAGATACTGTCTCTACAAAAATTCAAGAAAAACTGGCCAGGTGTGGTGGCACATGCCTACAGTCCCAGCTCCTTGGGAGGCTGAGGCAGAAGGATCACTTGAGCCCAGGAGGTTGAGACCATGGAGAGCCATGATTGTGCCACTGCACTCCAGCCTGGGCAACAGTGTGAGGCTCCAACTCAGGGGGGAATAATGTTTTTCTTTTTAACAATCTACAGGATTGAGTCAACTGTGGTATCTGAAAATAGAATCTCAGTAATTCTGACAACTCAATTATGACAACCTTTGAATTTTTAACAAACATTTTCCAACTATAACAGTTGTCACCTTTTTCAGAAATCAAAAATCACAAACTTATGCATCACTGGAACTATTACTATCCACGTTCCTAAGCCCAAGGTCACAGGACAGAGAGTGAAAGAAGCGAGTCTGATTACAGGTAAATCTTGACATATAAAAACTATAATCTGTTTACTGCTATAGCTAGGAACAGCAATTACAATTTATTATTTTGAACCACGGAAGAAAGCCACATTTATACTAAATGTCTCCACTTTGTTAACCGTGGTATTTTCTCGGGTCTGCTTTCCCTCCTACTCATCTCCTTCTCCACCCCCATCTTCTCCCAGGAAACCTTTCTTCTGCAGGGCCCAGCTAGTTCCATATGTGGTGTATAAGAAACGAAAGAAACATTTTGCATAGACGGGCCAGTTTCCACTGCCCAAAGGTTGCACTGACACGTGACACTCAGGGCCTGCCCAGCTGCCTGCCTCCTTCCCTAAAATGAGCCCTCACACAAAATCCTCTTTCAGGATTTTCAGGCAAGCCTCTCTCTGAGAAGAAAGTCTTCCTGCAGTTTTCTTAAAGCTGGAAGAGGCCCTAGGGGAGGCGGTGAGGTGAGGTTTGTTCACACCACTGACTACTGTTCAATGCCTGTTGGCTGCATGTATTCCTGCAATTCACCAAGATAAGACTCTTCAGACCACAAAATACAACCAGTCTGATCTGGCTGAAAATATATCTTTAAACATTTTAACAGTGTGTCCAATCAGTTTCATTCACTGGACATGGTTGTGAGGTCAGTGTCATTCACATACATCACAAACATGAAAGAATACTTTTTTCTTTCAAAAACTGTTTATACACATTTAATATAGGCATATGGTCTAAGACTACACACCTATATTGCAACCCTTCTATACCTGGGCCAATAGTGGTACCCAAAGCCTGAAGGTATAAATAATGGACTTTAAGACATTTAATTAACAAGTCGGTGAGAGATGGAGCACTACAACAGATTTCAATCCAAGACTTGTATTTGTGAATATATTCTGATTAAAATTTTATACTTGATATATAAAGATTAGCTATGTCAAAATTACTCAAAGGCATGGTCACAGTAATACTTGGTTCACACATTTCTAAGTGTTTCAACATACAAAAATAAGCAGTGAAATACCTCATAAAATAATTTCTATTTTAAACTAGGTAAAAGGCCAGGTGTGGTGACCTATAACCCCAGTCCTCTGGGAAGCTGAGAAGGGAGGATCACTTGAGGCCAGGAGTTCCAGACCAGCCTGAGCAACACAGCAAGACCCTGTCTCTTAAAAAAAAATTAACTCTATTTTAAACTAAGTAAAACATGAATATTCACTTCGAAAGTGCAAAAATGTGTTCAGTATCAGAGTGGGCTAAGTTAACAAGGATGACATGTCTCCTTGTCTGCCTCTTTCCCACTCTCAAGCTTTTTCACACCATTTCTTTCTCTCATTCCACCTTATTTATTCTTGGGTGACAACTCTTAAACTGTGCCAAAAAAAAAAAAAAATTCTGTTTAGAACATTCAACAGCAAATTAAAAGTACCATCAGGGAAATAGTTACATGCTACCAAAAAGTGACAGGTTTTAGGACAACTCTGCCTCATGCTATAGTGATTATCCAAAGCTGCATAGCTGTGTCTTACACATGCCTACACAAGACTTGATGAACAGCAACATCATAAAAAAAATAACTTTTACAAACCAGCTAACTCAGTTGTTTAACGTTCCTAGGAACACAAGGCTTAAAGCAAATAAAATTTCAAACCTATGGTTTTTTTCCCAATGAGAAAAGAGTGCAACAGTTTAAAGAAGTTAGAAAATGAAATTTTAGGTAGCAAAAATAGGAAAACCATCCCATGTTCCCTTTCTGCTTGTTATTATCTCCCCCATCAAAATCTTAAAACAGTTAGTAGTCATATGAAAGGAAATGAAAATAATCATATTCTCTCCGGTTATGTCATGCTGAAACTGTGCTTAAAGCTTAGAGAGAGGTGAACTCCCGACATTAGCTATATGTCTATTATATATCACTGAAGTTTTGAAATTAAGATCCCTAAGTCACCTGGGAAAGAAATAGCTGCATCAATGGGAGAACTACGAATTGAGAGCAAAGGAGCCATCTCCAAATAAAACAACTTGCATGAAAAAAGCAGGTGCACTTACTTTCTGGGCATGTTCTGAGTGGGGACAATAGAAGGTCTGGACTCGATTTAAGATTCTAGGATGTTCTCCAACTGAAATGCTCTTGCAAGCCCCTTCCTGAACACTTCAGACAGTGCTAGGCATAGAGGCTTCCAGTAAGTACAGAAGGACTGACTGAGGAGATGGAGTGAAGAAAAGGAAAATCCACAGAACGGTTCAAAATTCACACCTCAAAGGCCACAGATAACAGGGTTATGAGAGGTGATCATTATTGCTAGAGGAGTCTGTCCCCAAATAATAAATTTTAGATTAAATGTGGATAATCTAGGAGAGGTTTTAATTCCAGGGGAGATTTTCCTTTGTGCCGCCTTCCCTCCTACTGAGGGCTCTCTCTCACTAATGCTTAGTCTGTATCTGTATTCTGAAATTGCATGATGAGAGGAAAAGTAAAGCCCGTGACAACTCTTTAGCAAATACATGAAAACTGATCACAAAGTACCAAGCTTTCCTTGAAACTTCAATCCCATAAGTAAAAATGTGATATAAAGAAATATGTAACATAGACTACAAGTTATTATAGGTCTGGAATATGAGCCTTATATTATATTACATATTCTAATTCTACTCGTAACTATCAGTAAACATCTTTTTTTAAAACATTACTACACAAAGAATCCCACAAAGCATACATTCAAACAAGAGGCATCTAAAGATTAAAAAAATTACCCGCTGTATTTCTGTATAAAAATAATCAACATTCTTTAATGTACACAAAGCCAAAAGATAAATATAACATCTGTGATGTCTTCTGTGACATCTGTAGTCTTCTACTAGCTCAACACAATCTCTTCAAAAAGAGCAATGAAAATGACTGAAACTCACAGACTCTTTTTTCCTGCTTACTCAACTCTCGCCAAGTATCCATGTATGCTCCTTCAGTTATTAAAATATCTCAATCATGTGGTAAAGATAAGATATAGGAAAATATTAAAACAAAACCTTCATAATCTTCTCAAATAAAATTTTTCATGTCCAGGACTATAAAGCTCTCAGGGCTCCCAGAAACAACTTTGTTTTACTGTCACATAATTCTACAGAACACTGTTCAGTGAAAGGTTTTGCTTTATATTTTTTCCCCCCTAAAACATGTGCATAACAAAACTAAATCTGGCCATCCATGAGAAATCATGTGGTAAGTGCTTTGCTGGAAGCACGCAAGGGTTTAGCTAAGGAAAAGAAATGTCCATTCTAACTACGCCTAGCATGTTCAACACTAGTAAAAAATCTAAAGAGAAACCACGTATCTCCTGCAAACTAATTCCTTGGCAGAAAAGGTTTACTGGTTCATAGGTATAATCACATATGCCTTCATCGGTGCAGAGCACAGAGATACGAAAGATAATTAATCTGAATTAGTACTTTCTGAGAGTCAAATTATTTGTACGTTAGTCCTTGTTTTATGGGTCAATTTTATGGACTTTTTTTTATTTTCTAGTATGCATAAAACTAGAAAAAATAATTCAGCAGAATATGAACACTATCTGAATTTAATACTTCCACTGTATATGTACTCCTTCTTATGCCCCATCTTCTAAAATATCCCTTTGGGTAAAACAACATCTGTCACTCATTCTACATCAGAGTTTCTCAGCCTTGGCACCACTGACTTTTCAGACCAGTTGACTCTTTGTCGGGAGGGCTGTACTGTACATTGCAGGATATGCAGAAACATCTCTGCGCTACATACCACAGTAGCAACTCCACCCCTGAGTCCAAACCCAACCTGTGACAACAAAAATGTCTCTACTAGACGTTGCCAAATGTCCCGTGGAGGGCAAAGCTCCATTGAGAACCAGTGATCTAAATGTACAAAAACGGAGAGGAAAACTAACTTTTTCAGTCAAACCAAATCCCTAGTCAAGTTTGAAATAGAAACTAACTCTTTCAACCTCCATTCAAATCAGTATTGTTCATGCTAGAACACAATCTGTTTTTCATAGACAAAGTATTTGTCTAAAAGACTTGTTTTTAAATATGCAAACTGATTTCACTGTATACAACTCTGTCACTGGACTCCTAAATTATTCCATAATGTATCTATCATGACAGTCTTTAGAAGACTAATAGGGTAGAAAAATGTATAAGAAAACAAAATCAAAAGAGGAGAAATGTAAATCTTTAAATTACTTTTAAAAGGATTCTTTATATTAATGATAAACATCACCTTTAAAAAATTATCTAGTATAACACATTTCTTTGAAAAATATCATGGCCCTCTATATCAAGTCTTTCAATGCTGCACATAACCTGTAAAATTAATTTCACCAATGTTGGTAAATTGTAAAAATGTCTGATGAATTACTGTATCTCAGAAGAAATGTCAGCATTCGATGTGGCGATCCCAATGTAGTGGCTATCTACCACAATAAGTGTAACATTCTAGGCTGACTCAGCCCTTTTACCTTACAAGCTTATTTTAGAAGAGTAAATCTGCTGTTTTATCAAGGCCTCTTGTTCCTGTTAAGATTCCTTCAGAGAGTTGATGCGTGCACAGATCTTAAGGGCTGGGCCTAGCTTGATATTCATTGCACTCATGAGATGGTCTTCTTTTAGCAAGAGAAGGGCCTGTCCATCAATCTCCTGTGTTCTGAACTCATCTGCAATATCCTGGCAGCCTGGAATTTTATCAGAGGAAGGAAGTTAGAATTGAATGCACAACAATGAGGCATTACTCCTAAGAGTCACAGCTAATGCTCTCACTGGGTCTGAGAATCTGAAACATAGGCTTAAAACAAATGAAATGTATTTGTGGTAGTCTTGAGTTCAGTCTTGAAGAAGTGAGTATTTGTGTTCTGAAAATAAGAATTAATTCAAAATCCTGGTAAAGCAATATGCTTGGAATTCTTGCCATAAAAATGTACAAAGTGATCAGTCTAGATATAACATTTACTTCATGAAAAGAACTACAGTGTTACCACCGCAAAAGTATGCTACATAACAGGTTTGGGTTAACTATTACCTTATGAACTTATCTTTGTATAATATGCCCTTCACATATAAGTACAAAGAAATAAAATATAATGTGTTTCCATTTAAATAACAATCTAAGCTGGGTGTAGTGGCTCACGCCTGTAATCTCAGCACTGTGGGAGCAGAGGCGAGAGCACTGCCTGAGCCCAGGCGAGAGCACTGCCTGAGCCCAGGGGTTCAAGACTAGCCTGAGTAACTTGACGAGACCTCACCTTGACAATAAATCAAAAAATTAGTCGGGCGTGATGGCACACACCTGTAGTTCCAGCTAATTCAGAAGACTTAGGCGGAAGGATCGCCTGAGCCCAGCATGTCAAGGCTGTGGTGGCCATGAGTATGCCACTGCACTCCTCCCTGGGTGACAGAGTGAGACTCTGACACAAAAAATAAAAATAACAATAAAATAAAATAAAATAAAAAACAATCTAGAAATATGTTCTCAATTATCAAGAGTACCACTATCATTATTATTTGTACCTTATTCTCATTTCTGACCTTCAATTGCCAAATGCACTTAAAATATTTTTATTGTTCACACAAGACAGATCAAATCTCTCAAGATCACATTACCCATCTATTGCACTGTTGCTGAAATATACTGGACTGCCTAACTTGTAATTTCAGCTTCAAATCTTAGCATCACTGAACTTATCTTCACTTATGATAAGAAAACAAATTCTCATTGAGATTATGAGCTTGCGGGTTAATTTCCTGCCACACAACCAATACTGTAGCTCTTGGTCTAAACCAAGTTCTTCGGCAGGTAATAATGCTAGTATCTACCTGAACCTCTAACATTTTTACTATCTACATTTTTCACATTCGGATTACTCAATAAACCTCTCCAATAAGGGTGAAGAAACCAACAGAGAAGGTAATAAAGAGCCAAGAGAGGAGAGAATACAAAAATATGAAAGCTTTATCCTTAAAAGACAGTAAAATTATAAAACAAGAATACATGTAAAAACTAACTGCTTAAGTTTTTCTCTTTTATTCAAATCAGCATTCTGAGGGAAAACACAAAAAAGATAATGAAAAATGGAAATGGTTGCATTGTACTTTTGGATGCCACAATTCTGCTAGAATGATTACTCTTTCCATTGCAAATGTATCATTCTCTTGTTTATATAAGATAAAGAAATCTTCCTTATAATCCCAGCACCAAGCACAAAGTACTAGAGTAGTAAATACATATATTTATGAATAAATGAAGAACTGAATAAATGAAGACACAATAAACAAAAATATAATGTGCTACAGAGAGCTATCTGTAAGAGTAATACATTTATTCCCTGTGTTCAGCTGTGTAGTCATCTTTTCTCTTGGCTGTTTCTTTTCCCAGTCCCCTGTCAGTTGTATCTTTAGTTTTCTAGACAGCAGCCAGCTTTCTCAGTTTCTATTTTAATAATTTCTCAGACTTTCAACACGTGACATTTCAATACCCTCTACAAAATGTTATGCTTTTGCTCATTCACCATATAAAAGACATAGTTGAAATGGGATTACTCACCACAGAAAAGCCCCTTTTCTTTTCCCAGAGGTAGCTCTCAACAAAACTGGGCAGACAAAACTGACTAATCTTGCATCTAGTTGTGACTTCATCCTTCTTTTATAAAAGAACTAATGTTCTTCTCTCTTCAGTCTTACTTAAAAGAACACAGGAAAGAAAAGAAGAGAGAGAAAGACAGGTAGAACTTACTCAGACTCAGAAAACAGGGGCAAGAAGTAATGAGGACCATAAGAGCTACATTTGGGAATAGAAACAAGGAGTTCTCCATGAGGAAGATATATAGTACGTTCATGTTCCTCTGTGTTGTGAGATTCCTCTTCAAATGTCTTCTTGTGGTGGACAGTAAATGTATTGGCAAAACAATAAAGAACAAAAAGTGTTTTGGGAAATAGCATGATCAAACAGAAATGCATTTTAGGTCACAACTTACTTAAGCCAACCACAAAAAAAGTGTAGTTATATTAGTATAGAAATGAGAAAATAAAATGACTTGAAAAAGAAAAAAAAAAGCAGAAGCAAATATGTTTCCAGAAACTCATTAGAGAAAAACTTACTTTAAAAATACTTTCAAGTGCTCAAGTATATTGAACTAAAGTTCTATGAGTTTCTGATAACATCTACTTATATAAAATGACTGGAGCCCGGGGAAAGTACAAAACACACACCATTGAGGCAGCCTGTGAGCTCAACTAGCTTCACCTCGCCAGAAGACAGGCAATGCAGCTCCCAGCATGGGCATGGGCTCCACACCAGGACTCCAACTGAACTTCAAACGTCCAGCCAAACTCAAAACAAAAACACCCTGCACAAAAACTGACTTCAGTAAGCTTGGTGAAAAAATATCACTTGCCACTCAATACTACAGAATAACCAAGTCTCAATTCTGGTATTACAAGAAACAGAAAACTGTCTTATTTTTTAAAAATGATTCCTACCTTGTATGTCTACAAAGAAATCAAATCTACTATGAATTCACAGACCTATAAATGGAGGATAAACTGATCTTTGCAAAAGGCAATTCATCATATCAAGGAAGAGTCAAAGAAAATAACTGTAGTTAATTGAAAATAAGAATTGCTCCTACAGAGAACTTCCCAGTGCACAAAAATTAGAAAGCAGTCATTTTTCATTCTAATAACAGCTCTGAGATTTGGATGTACTGCATACAAGCTATAACATAGTCCCAAAGGACTGTTAACAGGATGGTATACAAAGAGAAGAGAAAACTGGAAATCTGATTAAAGAGGTAAGAAGCCTATCTTCAACTGGAAAGAAACAAAATACAAAAGAGATTACAAAAGTTATAAGCATGCTCAACTTTGAGAAAGTTTAGGAGTAGACTACTCAGGAAAAACAAACGGCCCTGAATGAGCTGAGAGAGATGCAAAAGGAAATTGTAAAGTCCAAAGGAGTAGAAAGAAATGAACATAAGGCATATTCTGATATGAGATTTACCTCAAACTACAGGCATTATTCAGGGAACACTTTTGAGAAATGTGATATAACTTAATCACACAAATTAGCTTGTTATTTGGCCTGTCAAAACAGTTTGGAAACATTCTCATTTTAACAGTAAGGAAAAAGAGTTATATTAAACAGGCTCTAAAACAGTAGCAAGCAATTCTAAATTATCACACAGCAGTCTCTCTTTTATAATATGTAACATTCTCCAAACACCTGACATCAAAATTAAGTGTCTAGATGAACTCAATAAGACAAGCATCTCAAGTTATGAGCAATAATAAGAATAAATTGCTTTTTATATTTTAGCTCAAATGAAGCAAGAATGAGACAGAGGAATTAGCCTTTGTTCTAATAAATAGCCAAGAGTAGCCACATGGCAAATGGATGCTAGAGAAAATTTGCCCTAAAAACAAAAACAAACAAAAAGTATGAAATGATAGAAGAATCAGCACTATCTATTATTTGTTCATTATTTGGGCAACCACTTTCCTAAGAATATAAATCAACCCTTCTCCCCAAAGGAAAGGTTGCTCCCAAATGAAAAATCAGACTCACAAACAGATCATGTGCCCTGCTTGGAAGACTGAGACTACTTCTGAAGACGATAGAATCAAAGTACGGTTCCCAGGAATGGTATCAGCATAGACTCCAACGTTAATTCTCAAGATAGCTATACTGGTTTAAAATCTAACAACTGTTTCACTGGATACTAAAACCATAATTAGTGAAGATTCACCATCCTCTAATGCATCAAGTTGAAAATAGATTCTAAACCCACCTGGTTAATAATTAACTTAGACCTAAGTTTTCTTAGGCATATGCTGAAAAATCTTCCCATGAAGAAAGATTCCCCCTTTAAACAACAATACCATCTTTCTTTAAAAGTGAGCATATTTTGCTTTAAAAGAAAAAAAATCTTGCCGTGTGCGGTGACTCAAGCCTGTAATCTCAGCACTTTGGGAGGCCGAGGCCAGAGGACTGCCTGAGCCTGCAGGTTTGCAACCAGCTTAGGCAACATGGTGAGACCTCATTTCTATAATAAAATAAAATTTTAAAAAATTTAGCCAGGTGTGGTAGCGTGTGCCTATAGTTCTGACTACTTGGAAGGCTGAGTTGGAAGGATCGCCAGAGCCCAGCAGGTAGACACTGGGGAGGCTGTGAGCATGCCACTGCACTCCAGCCTGGACGACGGAAAGAAACTCCAACTCAAAAAAAAAAAGCAAACAAACCAACAACAGCAACAAAAAACTTATTTAGCATTTCTAGAACAAGATATAGATAAAATAATTTAATAAAATTTCATAGAGTTCTGTATATGAAGTAAGATGGGTTACAGATTTTTTTCAGCTATTATTTCTAAATATATTTTATTGTATAACAGGTTAGCTATAAGTTTGCTTCTGAGACTTTTAGTTACCTTCATAGAAAGACTAATTAGCAACAATAGCTAATTCATTAGCTTATTAAAATTTGAATAAGTCTGGCAGACGAATTCAAATAGGATATATTCTTCTGAAAAGCTTATATCAAGAGAAATGGTATGATTCACAATAAAACCAAAAAGGAGCCATTTTTAAAATCACATGTTCCATATTCATAAGGTCAAAGTGAGTAAGATTTGTTGACTTAAAAAAAATATTGTCTCAACATATAAAACCAGTGTGATCTCATCATGAATGAGTAAAGGTATAGCTGTCTCTAGTAACTAGCCCCTTGGAAAAAGTGGATATAAAAGATTATAGCTGTTTTAAGGGAAAAAGAGACTTAAGTTGATGGAAAGAGTATCAAAATGAGAGCTAGAACAGGAAAACATAAATAAGAAAGTTACCCTCGATATTAGAATGAATATCATAACTGAATTTCAGCCATCTGCTTGAAAAATAAAATTTAAGAAGGGCCCTTGATGTTCATTTATTGAAAAGAATCAATGAATGCAGCTTCCTTTAAAGAACTAGCTTGATTTTTTCAAAAAAGAAACCAAAATTTTACCATATTTTAAAAGGTTTTGATTAACTTTCAAAAATGTAAAAAAAATAATATATATAGTCTCTCTTATTTCATTTTTTAAAAAGTTAAATTAGGAAATAAGGAGGAATAGAATAGAAAATAGAAGAGCAGAAAGGAAGAAGTGTCTGATTCAATCTCTCTACTGACCTCTCGAGAGAAATCAGACTGAAGAGAAGAAAGCACCTTTAATATCTTCACCGGCTGAGGTGTCACAGCAGAAGCAGGACTAGTCAGTTTTTATCGACTTGGGGGGTATGAGAAAATACCCAGTTGTTCTGAGGGAATAAGCAAGAGGAAACAGATCACATTTCAATAACAAATGCCATTTAATTGACACACATACACAGTACTTCTCTAGACCTTTGGTGCAAAAGGTGTGGATGGATCTAACTTCACTCCTGCGTGTGAATGCACAAGAAAAGCTGGAAGGCCCAAGTGCGGAATTACATACCAGGCAAGGAATGGATGAAGGCCCAGACATCATCAACTGTCCATATGGATGGCTCTGTTTGGGCAACTGGTAGCAAGTCACTGTTCTCAGGCATTTTCCGAATTCTCACATCTCGAAGTTCACGTTCTCTTTCCCGCTCACTCTGTCTGCGCAGACGAGTTGTCATAGCAGCTGGCACAGGATCTTCATGAGAAGCCAAGTCTTCTTCTGCAGATGGATAAGTAATTGGAAGCTGGAAAATGTAGTACAAGCAAAATACAGCATTGCACTTTCCTTGCATTTCTGAAAAGGGTATTGTACATTGAAGCAAGGTTTCTACAGACCTGCCTAAGGATGTGTTCTCTGGCTGCTCCGTCAGGACCACTTGGACGACGGCCACGGTGACTTTGATTATCAGGCTTGCGGTTCCAACGACTAAGGGCAAACTTTTTAGAACAGCTAACATTGTACCTAAGAGATTTAAGTAAGAAAAAATATTAATGACAAATGGGTCACTCCTTTTAGTATTGAATTATGACTTTAAAGTGCAACTGGAAATCCGTAAGTACCATATACATCACCAATAAACATAATATCTCATAAAGTAAACTATACTATTCAGTAGATTTACTTATGCTAAAGGTAAAAAATGGCCTCTGTATATCATATCTCACAATATAATACTGGACGCCTATAATAAGGCATTGATACTTTCTCCTGATTATAGTCTAACAGTGGGAAACTTTTTGCAAAATATAGAGAACAGTCAATTTTCGCAGCAGCAAAAAAATTCAAGGTTTCAGGAGAAAAAGAAGTTACGTAGTAACTAAATGTTTATTCAAACTGGTATTTTTCTAAGTAATAATTTCCAAAGAGAATTTGATAAAAAGAAGTTAATAGGCCGGGCCCGGTGGCTCAGCCTATAATTCCAGCACTTTGGGAGACCAAGGCAAGTGGATTGCCTGAGCCCGAGAGCTCGAGACCAGTCTGGGCAACTTGGCGAGACCTCATCTCTACAATAAATAAAAAAATAAAAATAAAAATAAGCCAGACGTGTAGTTCCAGCTACTTGGAAGGCTAAGGCGGAAGGATCGCTGGAGCCCAGCAGGTCGACACTGGGGTGGCCATAAGCGTGCGTGCCACTAGCACTCCAGCCTGGGCGACGGAGTGAGACGCCAACTCAAAAAAAAAAATTAAAAATTAAAAAAGAGTCGTTACTATAATAGGGGGAGAATTTCAAGCAGCTAGTAAAAGATTTTTCAAATAAACATTACTAAAATCAAAATGTAAAATGAAGATTTCAGAGTCCCACAAGGAATTCATTGCTCCCACTATTTAGGAAATTCAGAAGTATATAGTTTAAAATTGGTCAAAAGATTATTTTTTATCAAAATAATCTGCCAGATGGGTGCGGTGGCTCATGCCTGTAATCCCAGCACTTTGAGAAGCCAAGGCAAAAGAGGACTGCCTGAGCCCAGGAGTTCAAGAGCAGCCTGGGAAACTTGGCGAGACCATGTCTCTACAGTAAATCAAAAAGTTAGCTGGACGTGGTGGTGCACATCTTGGGAGGCTGAAGCAGAAGGATCACTGCAGCCCAGCAGGTGGAGGCTGTGGTGGCCGGGAACATGCCACTGTCCCTCCAGTCTGGGTGACAGAGTGAGACTCTGACTCAAAAACAAAAAAACAAAAAAACTCAGACTGCCTAATTATTTTTGAAAATAGGCCTTTATAAAGCATTATGACAGCTTACAAAAGTCGTATGCCATTTAATGGATTCCAAAGCCCTAGAACAGGGACTGGCAAGCTTTTTCTGTAAAAAGATCAGATAGTAAATATTTTAAGTTTTGTGAGCCATACAAGTAAATCTCTCACAACTACCAACTCTGCCACTGGCGTGTGAAAACAGCCATTGAAAATACTGAATCGGCCTGACTGTGTTCCAGTAAAACTGACAGTAACACTGAAAACTGAATTTCATATAATACTCACATCACAAAATATTATTCTTTTGATTTTTACCCACCAAGCTAAAAACTGAAAAACCATCCTTAGCTCAAAGGGTCATACAAAAAATAAGCTGCAGAAAGAACCTGGCCTAGGCAACACTGCCAACGCTTCCTAGATAGAAAAGGGGAAATTATCTAAGAAACAAATTTCTGAAAAGCTATGGAAAGGCTAAAAAAAATATATGCAGTTCCTCTTTTTTATACATATGAAACTGCCTCTGTAACATGTTATTTTCAGAACTCTCTTGCTCTAAGAAAATCACAAGAATAAATCACAATTAACTTAGCTATTGACAACTATTGTAGGACCAGTATGCAAACAAATTTTCGCCACCCAAGCTTTATGAAAACATCAAGAGGTGGAAGTAAAGAGCACTATAAGACTGAGTAAGCTATTTTTGTCATAAAAATAAAAATGTCCCGATGGCACTTCCTTTTACTCTACAACAATGCAACAAGCTCCTGCCGTGTTCACAAGGTGCTCATCTGTGGGCTCACCAATGTAAGTCTGTGATTTCCATTTGTATCGACTGACAAACTTCTTTACTCATTAAGGGAAAAATAGAGAAGAGAGATTAGCTATATACTTGGTATTCAGTTTTCAGTATTTAGCTCTCCAAGACAGACAGCTAAGCAGGCACAGAAACATGACATGACATATCCTCTGCTCCCTGCTTTCTCCTCTACACTTCCCTCTGTTAGGACTCCTAACCTGCCAAAGAAGGTTAATTTTTGTATGGCCTTTGAGCAAAGGATGGTTTTTCAGTTTTTAGCTTATTGGGTAAAAATGAAAAGAATAATATTTTGTAATGTGAATATTCACCTAAAGGAATAATAATGTGAGAACTCAGGAATCTCTGGGAGGCGGGTGATGGCAGCATTATATGCTCTGAAATGTCTCTAAATAGCCAAGAAGTCTAAAATATTCTGGAAGGAAGTCCTTTTCCAAGTTTTTAGAGTCCTTAAATCACTGAGAATTCAAGAGCCACTGTTCCTTCTTATGGTATATGTAAACTAGAAAATTCAAGTTAAAACATGAGTTATATAATTTGATTACAGGTTTATTTATATTTGAAAAACAGATTGACAACTGAAACAATGAATGTATTTTTGGAGGAAAATAGTTCTATGTTTAACTTAAGTTTTACTAAGTACATTTAGAAGGCATCTATACAAAAATGTTCAAGCAAGAAATTCCCCAGGTATATACTATTAAGACCTTAATTTTTTAGCATGAGGTTAGGGTTACTTTATTTATTTTTACTGATGCATAATAGATGTACAGAGTCTCAGGGCACATGTGATAATTTAATACATGTTTCTAACATAAAGAAACATTCCAGTTTTCTTGTATTTTGAAATATACAACAGATCATTGTAAGCTACAGTCACCCTACTGAAGATCTTAAATTCTTTGAGAGAATAATCACTTTTTTTAAACAGAGGAAAAAAATTACAAAATAATCAACCTGTGCATTCACTTCAATGTTAGTGGTAAATATCTGTACTATTGGGTTTATTATCAGAACCAGAGTGGGTTTTTTTTAATGTACACTAAACTTGGTAATTATAAGATTAATAAAAAGATGAAACATTTCTTTTGCTATTGATATTGTCTACAACAATTACTACTGAAAATACTAATTAAGAAAAGACAGATATTTTGCTGTCTGATAATGTCACAATGTAGGGAACTTATGCGGTATAGCTGTTCCACTTAGAAACTAAAATAAATAGGATACGGTTCAGACAAATGAAAATACTTTAAAACAAAACAAGGTAAATCCAGGTATTTCAATACTGATAAAACCATCAGTTGATAAAACGAATACTGTTTTCGATACTCTAACAACTACTATTCTATAATATCCTGATCATTTCACTGGAAGGTCTCCTAAGCATATTCTTACCACTAGAAGACTGCTACTTTAATATTAGATTACACTGTAAAGCTGATTTTAAGTATAATGAATAAAAAATTTTCACAGAGCAAAATCTAATGATACCAAAGTAGCTCCAAATAATACCTATTTACATTATCCTTCTGTATTGTACTATCTAAGTTTGACTACTGATAAACTGTACAAAAGTTTTTTGGTTTTGCTGCAGTGGTTGTTGGTTTGTCCTTTAGAAAATTCAAGAACACAGAAATACCTTTTGGCACATGACATAGTGCAGAATCGTTTTGACCGCAAAAATTCATTAGCATATCCCATTTTCCCACAGAATTCACACTTGAGCAACTCACTGTCCATTTCTTCTAATGTCTCTAAAAAAGAAGGAAACAAAGAAAAAAATTCCAAAAATTTAATTGTGCCAGACTTTCTTTTAGCCTATACTTTGAATATAAGTTGCTAGCAGACCAATGGTCCTTTAACTTCATAATTCATAGTCACTTTGGAGGGAAAAAGCCTTCAAAAACAGTCATCACTACTAATTCCTTCTTGCTTCTGCATAAAAACCATATGGAGTTTCTATATAAATAAGCATATAATTTAAAAATCTACCTTGCTTAAGATACACCTAAAATGTATAAATAGCTATATAAACACTAGGGGAGAAACAAAGATGAACAACACAGTCACTACCTTAAAGGAGGAACATTTTCAAAAAACAAAGTATAGGATCTGAATTTTAGTAAATTGTGCTATAGAAATATCTAGCAGCAGACTTAATTCTAATTGGAGAAAATAAGGATGACTTTAAAAAAGGGAAATGTTGATATGTCTGATTTTAGAAGAGACCATAAAATAATTAACTCTACCCAAAGATCTGCAGTATACAATAAAATAAATAAAGATGTATATATTGGGAGGCTGAGGAGGAAAGATCACTTGAGCCCAGGAGTTCAAGACCAGGCTGGGCAATATAGCAAGGCTGTCTCAAAAATAAAAAGTTGGGTGCAATGGCTCATGCCTGCAATCCCAGCTCTTTGGGAGGCCAAGGCAGGAAGACTGCTTGAGCCCAGGAGTTCAAGACCAGCCTGGGAAACATAGCAAGAACTTGTCTCTACAAAAATTTTTTTTAATAAATTAGCTGCGTGTGGGGGCATGCACCTGTAGTCCCAGTTACTCAGGAGGCTGAAACGGAGGACCACCTGAACCCAGGAGTTCAGGCTGTAGTGAGTCATTTTTTTTTTAATTACTTTTTTTTTTTTTTTGAGTTGGAGTCTCACTCACCCAGACTGGAGTGCTGTGGCCGCTCCCCGGCCACTGCAGCCTCGACCTGCTGGGCTCCGGTGATCCTTCCGCCTCAGCCTTCCAAGTAGCCAGAATTACAGGCATGCACTACCATGCCCGGCTGATTTTTGATTTATTGTAGAGATGAGGTCTCACTGCCCAGGCGGGTCTCGAACCCGCGGGCTCAGGCCATACACTCACCTCAGCCTCCCAAAGGCGCAGGATTACAGGCTGAGCCACCGAGCCCGGCACCTTTTTTTTTTTGAGTTGGAGAATCACGCTCTCACCCAGTGACAGTGAGGCACAGTGAGCACAGTGAGGCAGTCGCAGCTCCCCACAGCCCCAAACCCCTGGGCTCAAGCAATCCTCCCACCTCAGCCTCCTGAGTAGCCGGGAATACAGGCACACACCACTACACCAGCTAGTTTTTTTTCTTTTTATAAAGATGAGGTCTTGCTATGTTGCTTAGGCTGGTAACTTCTTAAAAATGTATGTATCTAGCTATAAAACAGTACCTTTTAGTTAGATCATGTTAAAACAAATTATACACAAAATCACAGAAAGTTTCAACATTTCCAGCCATAGTTGCCTTTTTCCCAGGTGCTCCCTACTAAGCAAGAATGCCCTTCTTCCACTCCTGCATTTCTTTAGGTGGCAGCACAAGACCTAAAGAAACTTCCAGCCTAGACCCTCAAGTTCTCAGCAGCACAACAGATAAGCAAGCCACTTAATCTTCTTATCTTAAGGAAAATGGCGCTTGTAAGACCTTTCCCAAAGAACTGAAGTGATGACTAAGTAAGTGCCCAGCAGGTAGGAGGCACCAAAAGTGACAGTTCCATTTCCTACTTTCCACACAATAACCAACAGAGTACTAAGATATGTAGTAAGTGCTCAAGACATACTTAGATCGAAAAATCAACCTATTGGGCTGGTCGACACTGAGGTGGCTATGAACGTGGCCCTGTGCTCCAGCATGGGTGACGGAGTGAGACTCCAACTCAAACAAAACAAAACAAAAATCGACCTTCCATGTAACCTGCAGCCCCTCTTCCGGCAGGAACTCAAATCACTCTGTGAAAAAGACACCGGCACATGCATGTTTATTGCAACACTATTCACAACAGCAAAAACATGGAACCAACTGTGCTGACCACTGAAAGAGGAATGGCTAAAAAAAAATGTGGAACAATGGAATATTCCAGCCATAAGGAAAATCAAAATTATGAACTTTGCAGCAACCTGGATGGAATTCGAGTCTACAATACTCAGTGATTTATCACAAAAACAAAGATCTAAGTACAACATATACGCACTCATAAGTGGACCCTGAACATTTATCATAATACTGTAAGAAAGGAATTGGCAGTAGTGGGACACTGCCAGTGGTGGTGGCATCAATAAGGGTACCCACACTTTTCCTTTACAATGATCACGTATGTACCTAACCCTGAATTGTACCCCATATTTTTAAAATAAAAAAAAAGAAAAATACTTCGCACAACTTGTTAAATCAACTGTATTTTTCCACTTTCTTGCATCATCCTAATTCCTTTGCCAAACCATATGAAATATGCAACAAATGCTTGTTAGTAACTAAGCTTTTAGCGATGAGCTCCACGTGTGCTGTCTCTGTGTTGCTCCTTTAACAAAGACTTACTGAGATGAAGACAGGAACTCAGAAATGTAGATATGGATGGCATGTACTCAATAAGCTCAGGCACTGACATTATTTCAGTTTTACTGGAGAAGCAGATAGGAAGCGCTAAATTAAGTGAAGGTAGCAAAAACTACTTTAAGAAAAACCATGAAGCAGTATTTGATACTAGTAGGACATCTAAATACATTATCCTGACTAATGAAATCATTAATTAACTTTAGGAAATTCTTAGGACTACCTTCATAAACAAAAGTCATCAAAACTTAGCAATGAGGAAGAACAAGTAAATTAAAAATTGCCCCTTCCAATGACCTAGGATGGCAACCACAAAGCTGTGGCTCAGTCAGGACACCTACCAACACATTCCTGGCACCTGACAGCCTAATTCCCAAGAGTACGACTTTCACGTGGTCATGCTCATCACGTGATCTGATCCTGAAAAGCCTGTCCAGGAGACAGAACCTCTCACTCACTCACCCCTGCCACAGCTTCGTGACCCTGAAGGGTCCACTGCTCAAGTTGTTCCAGGAACAAGCTACACTGAAAGATTTGTTTCAAAGGTTTTTTTCTAATTAGTTAACATAGCAGTATGCACCTGTTAATAGGTTACAATACCTTATGTAGGAGAAGAAAATGTTTTTGCAGGTAAGAGAGGGGAAATACCAAACAAATGGGTTAACAGCCTAACAAAAACAGAACATCAGTTTCATTTCTCACAAAGAAGTGAGAGATATTAACAGACTCAGAAATTCTTGTTCTAATGTTCAATCAGATATATATGTTTTTGGGGGTTTTTTTTGAGTTGGAGTCTCTGTCGCCCAGACTGGAGTGCAGTGGCACACTCATGGCCACCACAGCCTCGACCTGCTGGGCTCAGGCAATCCTTCCACCTCGGCATTCCAAGTAGCTGGAATTACAGGCACATGCCACCACACCCAGCTAATTTTTTGACTTACTGTAGAGATGAGGTCTCGCCAAGTTGCCCAGGTTGGTCTTGAACCTGTGGGCTCAGGCAATCCTCTCATCTCGACCTCCCAAAGCACTGGGATTATTGGCATGAGTCACCACATCTGGCCTCAATTAGATATTTTTAAAATCTGGTAATATTAATAGGTTACTCTTTTACATTTAAGAATAAGAAGTACAGAGCCAAAAAGTTCAAAAAATTGCTGGTTTAGCTAATAAAAATGAGACTCTGTAGCAGAGACAGCTGCTAATTCTCCAGCATCCATTCTTTTCTTTTTTTTTTTTTTTTTTTGAGTTGGAGTCTCACTCGGTCGCCCAGACTGGAGTGCAGTGGCCGCTCCCGGCCACCGCAGCCTCGACCTGCTGGGCTCCGGCAATCCTTCCGCCTCAGCCTTCCGAGTAGCCGGAATTACAGGCATGTGCTACCACGCCTGTTGATTTTTTGATTTATTGTAGAGATGAGGTCTTGCTGCCCAGGCGGGTCTCGAACCCGCGGGCTCAGGCAATCCACTCACCTCAGCCTCCCAAAGGCATGGGATTACAGGCTGAGCCACCGAGCCCGGCTTTTTCTTTTCTCCCATAGTAATGAAGCCTTAGGAACATGGTCACCAACCCAGTAAACACTAGTTTCTGCCTAGGAGTAGCTGATCTCTGATCAATGGGATGTGGATGTAAATGCTCCAAACGAGTCCTTTCCCCCATATCATTTGTTAGAATGTGACCATGAAGATCAGGCATCTTGGAATGAAAGTAACATTCTACAGACCGCAGAGACATAAGCACTGGAGCTCGGATGCCCGATACCAAGAAGCTTGACATAAGCCCTGGACTGCTGACCTTTGGATTATGTCAGAGAAGACTAAACTCCTATCTTATTTAATCAAATATTGTTCTGGGTCTCCACTGGGGTGGCCAAACCTATATCCTAACTAATATAGGTCCTCAGTTTTTTTGTGTAAGAGTTACTTTTTATTTCCCCAAAGACCTGAAATCAACATGAGGATCGGCAGCAAAGAGGGGCAATGAGATGGAAACATGATCCATATGACGGCTTGCCTGGGAAGACAATAAACTATTATGATAAATCACAATCTGTTAGCTGAAGATTCTAGTTACAGAATCAGTTCAAAAAGAGCCATAGTTTACCCTTTAAAAAGAGAACAATCCACACTATGAAGTTTTTTATATTGAAACTAAATGTTACTAAAAGCCATTAAGTAAATGACCTTACCATTTCACCCTACAGTACTTCCCATAATTACTAAAGCACATATGAATAGCAATGCTGAAATTATACAATTCCTTGGGAAATTAAATTATGAAATATTTTAAATGTTAGCACATTATATGTAAGTATTTCTCCCCTATGAAATATATCATCTCTAAATCTTCCTTTCCTTACCCTGGTATCTTGTCTTGTTGAACTCTCCTTGCCTGTCTCCCATCAGTCCTTTCCTTCCTCTTCCTGACATAACTACAGGTGTCAATTACCTGCCAAACCTCTACATCATCCTACAATGGCCAGCAGAGTTTCCAAACACTCCTTTGTTCACATCACCTGCCTAAAACCTTCAGTAACTATCCCCTCTACAAGGCAACTCCTAACTCCTTTGTCTCCTCTCCAAGGTTCTCGAGAGTCTGACTCTGCCAGTCACACTTCCCACGACTCCTCTAATCCAATCCTCTACTCTTCACTGCCCCCTCTAAAAGTGACCTGGCACTGACACAGCCTTTATGCGTTTACTCTGTGTTCTAACATGAAATGTCTTCCTATTTGTTATCTTCAACCTATGAATCATTATCTGAGACCCAAGTCAAAGCTCATCTCTACAGAAAAATCACCAAACTGAAGAATCTTAGCCAGTTATAAAGTTCCAAATTCTCAGCTTTGGTCCCCTCCCCTACCTTGGGGAGGTGAATTCTCTCTCTCTCGCTAACTAAACATTCAAATAAAGTTTGCTTGAAAACTAAAAAAAAAGTTCTAAATTCTCACTGTCTATATAATTCATTGAAAATGTGCCATTTTTCACTCCTTAGTAATCTTTCTGTCATGGAGATTCCTCGTTCCCTCATTCCAAGCTAGATTAAAAGCTCCTAGAGGGAAGGGACTGTGTGTACACATACACATACACACACACACACACATATACACACTCTCTCTTCTCAGGTTCTAAAACTGTCTAGCACATACTGTATGTCTATTATATTATAAACTGCGTATCATAAAATGTCCTTTTCTGAGCAGACTTCCATGTTCTTCCTATGAGCGTACAGAAGGGGGCACACTATAAACACTTTTTAGTCTTGAACTCTCATTTATATACAACGTAGACACAGATAAGAAAAAAAGGATACCTGCACATTTAACATTACTACCTGCATCTCAAGTGAGAAATATTCTCAGATAAAACAGTATGAATAACTAAAAGCAAGTATTTGAAAATTAAATGAAATTAAATTTATAATAACAAAAGGCACAATAAAGACTTGTTTGGATCCTGATTTCAACCAAATAGCTATAAAGGGATTTGTTTTAAACAATTGAGAAAATGTGAATACAGGTCAGGTATTAGATAACACTGAGGAATTATTATTTTGCTATATGTGATATGGCATTATTGTTAGATAAGAAGATGTGTATTTTTTTAGAGATGTACACTAACATACGTACCAGGGAAATAAAAGGACTATGACTTCCTTCACACTGGGAAGGAAGGGAGGAAGGAAGGAAACAGGGATTGGGAAGGGAGGGAGGAAAACCAAATGAAAGGATGAAGCTAGTATGACAAAATTATGTTGAAACTGGGTGATAATGTTGAGTCTAGGTGACTGGAGATTTATCACACAATTCTCTACTGCATGTTTGATATTGTTCATGATTAACATTCTTTTATATTTAAAAATACCAAATTAAACTTAGCCGTAGAAATCAAATTTTATATTACTATTATATACTCGGCTGTTCAAATAAAAAGTAAAACAGGAACTGACACAGTTCAACAGTTAACAAAGAACTAACAATTTCAGAGGTGATGTTCTTTAAGAGAAAAACTGTGGGCAAAGACTGTTTATTTTGCTTAACTTAGCAAAGTAAAGGCACAATAAATATTTGTAAAATGAATACATTAACTTGAGATGAAATATATTCATACAAAATTAATCTTAGATGAGATATACTCATACACTGAGGATTCCTTCGATACATGTTAACTAATTAACTACTGTAGAGCCCTGACTCTGCTAAAAGCTATTATATTGAACTATATCAATTGCAAGGCCATGATCAAAATCAAGCAGAGACAGTCTCACGAAGATGCTCCTATAAAACATAGCTAGTTTATTTTTGTCCAATCAGAAATTCAGACCCTATAAGCATTTGCTGATTTTTTTTTTTAAGTCGGAGTCTCACTCTGTCACCCAGGCTGGAGTGCAGTGGCATGCTCATGGCCACTGCAGCCTCGACCTGCTGGGCTCAGCTGATCCTTCCTCCTCAGCCTTCCAAGGAACTGGGACTACAGGTGCATGCCACCACGCCTGGCTTATTCTTCTTGATTTATTGTACAGATGAGGTCTTACCAAGTTGCCCAGGTTGGTCTCGAACTCCCTGGCTCAGGCAGTCCTTTCACCTCTGCCTCCCAAAGTGCTGGGATTACAGGGGTAAGCCACCATGCTCGGCCTAGCATTTGCTGATTTTAAATAGCAAACCAAAGGTATAAAATATATCATTTTCATGTTTATTTGTATTGTTTTCCTTCATTCACAGTAAATACCACTTTAATTTCTATGGAATATTCTCTTTTAAGAATAAAATCTATAGAAAAAAGATTCTTTGACATTAAGGAGATGCAGTGATCATTTGCTCTTTGAACCAGCATTATCACCTCCAGATTGAAAAGTATATCTCTAGTATACTTATAATACCCACCTGATGTCAAACATCAGGATATGGAAAGAATAAAACCAAACAGCCCAGAAGCTCTAAATTTTTAAGCAAATTCAGTAAAATAGCCATGTGTTACTTAAGTCTGCTTGAAAAAAAGAGAAAAATTGGTTGTTTTGAAACTAAAATTCTGAACTGCTTTCTCATACACGATGGAACTTTCCCCATCCACACTCCTTGAACAGTCAAGTTGATACTGTACAAACAAGCACCCATCTTACTAGTTCAGTTATTTGGCCACTGAGAGTCCAGTTAGCTTTCCCATGATCTTAGTCAAAGAATGCATTTATGAGAAGAAAAGTAAATACTTTGGAGTGAATATACGTGCACAATAAAAATCTACGTCTTATACCAAGTAGAAAAAAATGCAAAGCTAAAGTAAAGAGTATCTTCAGTGAAATCCACCAACCTTCGGCAGTCATGTCTTCCATCTCTGTGTCGGATGAATTATCTGCATGTTTTGTATTATTCTGTAGCTCTGGCTGAACACACACTGAGTTCACCACCTGATTATCCACAAGAGGTCTTTTCTTCACAGGCTGTTCTATTAGCAAAGATGAGCGACTCACCTTTAAGAAGGAGAGAGAACAAAATGAAATAAGCGCCAAGAAAACGTTCAGAAAATAACTTGGCTTACAACACCAAAACACGAATGCTGTGATCAGATCCAGTCACTGAGTGCTTCACTCCCGGAGAGGATGGTGGGCAGTCGGTGCCTAAGCACTTCGTCTCTGGGCATCCAACAGTGCAGCTGCTCCACAGTCTCTGGCAAGTGGAGACCCACATCTAGGCTTAGGCAGCTATGTTTAGAATGAATACTAATCGTCAAGTGACCCTGCACTACGAAAATTTGGTCGCTCAGTCCAAAACCGAGAAACAAAGGTAGTGATTATCAGCATTTTTAGGAGGTGGGATTTTCTTAACTTTAAAAAATTCTACTCAGTTAAGCAATTCCCTCTCAGTTCTATGTGGTGACTAACTTTTTTCCCTCAGAAACTTTAATGTTTTCCATATGAATACAACACAGATGATCGACAAGCAATAAAATCTGACAGGCCAATATCCTCAGTTAATGAATTTTTCTAAATAACTTTAAGACTTACTTTTCACGGCCGGGCTCGGTGGCTCGGCCTGTAATCCCGGCACTTTGGGAGGTCGAGGTGAGTGGACTGTCTGAGCGTGCGGGTTCGAGACCTGCCTGAGCAACTTGGCGAGACCTCATCTCTACAATAAATCAAAAAACTAGCCGGGCGTGGTAGCGCGCGCCTGTAGTTCCAGCTACTTGGAAGGCTGAGGCGGAAGGATCGCCCGAGCCTAGCGGGTCAAGCCTATGGTGGCCAGGAGCGGCCACTGCACTCCAGTCTGGGTGACAGAGTGAGACTCCAACTCAAAAAAAAAAAAAAAAGTGGGTGACTTATATACAAAGATATTTCTAGCCAAACTATTTGAACAGTGAAAAAATGGGAACCTAAATGTCCAACAACGTAAAGATTACATAAATTATGGGTATCCATAAAATGGAATATCGTATTTCAAAATGTTTCAAAATTTTCCATTTAGAATATCTTTTATTTTTCTAACATGAGAAACAAAAGTTGTGGTTGTCACTAGTGATAACAGACAATAACAGTGATACCTACTAAGTACCGAATTAACTGTGCACATCAATTCTCTCAACACCCCTAAGAGCAAAGCACCATCTCCATCTGATAACCAAAACTCTGAGTGACTTGACAAAGATTACAGAGTTATGCAACAGATAGGAAAAAAAGACTGTTCTTCCATTCCAATATAGGAGAATTCTTATAAGAAATCCAGGTTACACACACACACACACACACACAGGAAACTGAACATAAGGCAAATTGACTAGGTAACCAGCTATGACAATGCAAGATTTTCACGCATGAATCAGAAAACACAGATGATTCAAAGGCTTTGAAAAGAAGTATTTCATTTTTATGTCTACTTGTCTTCGGTGTATTTTCTAAGGTAATATGTTCATCTTTAGAGATCAGCAGATAATTTATGTACAGCCAGTCTCAACTGTAAAATTTACAGTGACAAAGCACCTCCATTTTGAGCTGAACATTTTTATTTTTTGAGTTGGAGTCTCACCCCGTCGCCCAGGCTAGAGTGCAGTGGCACGCTCACGGCCACCCCAGCGTCGACCCGCTGGTCTCCGGTGATCCTCCGGCCTCAGCTTCCTACGTAGTCAGAACTACAGATGCGTGCTACCATGCCCAGGTTTTTTTTTTTTGAGTTGGAGTCTCACTCTGTCACCCAGACCGGAGTGCAGTGGCCGCTC